CAATCCGAGTGTTTGTCTTAGAATAAAAGCTTCGTATAACTCCGAATTCGACGTCATCGACGTCAGAAATATATAGTGCGAACCTGTCCGTACTCGTTTTCCTCCTCCCAAATACCGTACGACCTGGTAAATAATAGTTATTACACACCGAAAATCTCATGTCTTCAAAACCTATATCCACTCGTAACCTATATTTCCCCCATACAAAAAATGTCAAACAAGTCGAGAAATTTATCTAAATTCACCGACTATGAGACGCCAAGAAACCTTTCGCCCTAAGAAAAACGGGATTCTTCATATCCCGTATACAACCAGTAAATTCCATAAAAAATCGGTTTTCTTCTCTTCGCTCCATCTCACGTGAACAAAAAATCGCATCCCATTCTCGACAAGTATATTCCTTTTACAGACCCGCCATATTTCTTTTCGCAATCGCCATTTTGTTTTCGGACTCCGATCGGTCCCAGACGCTTTCTCACCCTTCCCCTACCTCGTCTAGCATTTCGACAACCAATCGCACACATGGGGCACTAGGGGTAGAGCCAATCACGCGTCAGGCAGTTATGGAGCCAACCAATCAGAACGCTCCCACTAATTACCTAATTATCAAATTATCTCCGATCCCCGCCGACCAATCAGAACGCTCCATTTCCACGTGGCTGCCAGTTTTTGACCGTCGGGGGCCACGTCCCTGGCGCCAGTGAGAAGGTGGTGGGGGTTTGTTTGACGCGCCATAGTGCCCCACTTACTACTTATATTATATATAATTTTTCAGTACATTGGTAGTGTATATCGGAACACGGCCATAGCTTACAGTTTACTAATAAAACTATATAAATACAAACTAAAATACAAACTAAAATAAATATATAAATTTGTATCTATTAAATGTCATTATATTAAAATAATAGAGAATATAAAGATTAAAAATACATATAATATATAATTTATCTTAGAATATATATGTCTATCATGTACACATTTTAATAACATAATTGTAATTATAAAATAGTGTTCTTTTTAACAGTTAAATGACAATTTAATGTTTTATAACATTATTAAAAAAATTATAAAGAAGTAAGAGATTTCATTAACCAGGATTTTTAGAATTATTTCATCTAATATTTATAATATTAAATTTACAATTTAATTTTCACAGAACAATATTTAAGTTACTTTCTTTACCAGCTGTAAGAAATTGAACTTTATTGATGCACAATCTTGTTTCCAGATACATGTTTTAAACGCTTTAAAGGAACTTAAAGAAGAAGATAAAGACTGCTGCTTAATATTTGATAGCATGGTTATACATCAACAATTTTTTATCATTATTTTGAGACGAACAACAGCACAAATATGTGCTGTTGTTCCCAAAGTAATATATTGATAAGTAATATATTGGTTTCTGTGATGTAATAATATAAATATAGAAATTATGGAAACGGAATGTACAGAAGTTTCAGTCTTTATGTTAGTTTCTTTAAAAGGTGTTTGGCTTATTGCATATTTTTTAAAACATAGTATAACTGCAATGACATTGGATGAATTAATCAAAACTACCTTTATATTATCTGCAGAATCAGGCTTAAAAATACAAGCAGTTACGTGTGATGGTGATACTGTCAATTGTAGTGCTTTACAAATTTTATGTGCGAATATTTTTGTAGATAATTATATGAATATAAGAAATTTCTTTCCATATGTTATTTTGAATTATAAAGTGCGAATGCTTTTAAATCCATGTTATATGGTAAAATTAACTCGAAATATATTTGCTGATTACAAAGAATTTAAAAGTAATGACGGTTTGATTAAATGGGAACATATTACTCAACTGCATAATCTTCAGAAAAAATTAACTTTTAAATTTAAAAATCGCTTAAATAGCTAATGTATATATTGGAAACAAAACAAGATGAAAATAAAGTACACAATTCAAACTTTAAGTTTGTCTGTAGCTAATGCTATTCAGTTTCTTAAGAAGAAATTTCAACAATTCAAAGATAGTGAAGGTATGATAAAGTTTATTCGAGTAATTGATAGATTATTTGATTTCTTAAATTCAAAAACTTCTTTTAGTAAAAGATTTAAGAAACTTGTTATTCCAAATAATATACCATATTTAAGAAATACGCTTGAAGAAAATATAAAATATTTATTTTTACTGCAAAATAAAGAAAGACAATTATTACTTTATAATGATAGAAAAACTTTTATTTATGGTATAGCTATAGTAAAATCTGTTTTGGATGTAGCTGAAGACTTATTTGCAGAAAATCTATCATATAAATATGTATTAACTTATAAATTTTCTCAAGATCATGTGGAATTATTATTTTCTAAAATAAGAAATCGTCATAGATATAATAATAATCCC